GAAAATTAAAAGTAATCAATGAGAAAGAAGAAAAAACGAGGCAGGGGAAGTATGAAAAAACGGCATCGTATTTGTACCGGCATGCCATGCGTAAGGTATGCCGGTTGCACGGTATAATTTGCGAGAAAACAGTGTATGAATATGAAAAATATATTACAAAAAAGTCTATAAATATAAAAATACAAAAACAAGAAATTCGGTTGTAATTTCAAATAATGAAGAAAAAAGTAGAAAACAGTGCGTGGTTATGAAATACAATATACTTATCTTATGTGGATATATAAAATTTTGTAATATATTAGTCAAGAGAGAAGTTAATTCAGTGGTAATTTAATTAGTCCAATTAATTACATTTGAGCATGTTGAGGCATGCCAAAATGTAACTTGTACATCTGTAAATGTAATTTGGGATTTTTTCAGAAATATTACTAAAATAAAACTTAATTACATAAATATGACTAATAGTTACTACAATGTAGTGTCATGATAACTTAAGTTTAAAAATTGAACATAAGCTACTATGATTTCATTACTACTCTAGTCACTAGTCACATTTTTGTAAACTATATTTATTTAATACTATGTTAAATTTTGAGATCATGTCTATGTTGAAACCACACTTCTACAAAAGATAGTGCATAATAAGTCAAGTTTTCTCTTCATATACGGAGTACCTTTCAAGGTGTTACCAACCTTTACGTCTTGTCTATGATTTGAGTAATTCTATTATACTTCATAGTGTATTCTTTACTTTTTCAGAATGTTAAGGTTTCAGATTTACAAACAGACTGCTAGAAGTAAAAGTTGATGAATACTGGGCACTATCTTCAAACTACAAAAAACTACTTTTGGTTGAAAAATTGGATCAAGTTTAATTAGCGTATAAAAATTGATAGGTACGGTATTTTAAGAGACTTAGCTCTGGAAGCAGTATTTCCTCACCTTCATTGAAAAATGAAAAAGAAAAATATGAGAGATGATCACCTCTTTGAAGGAATAAAGTAAGCCGAATACCTCTTTAAATATGAAAAATATGAGAGATGATTACATTGGTTTCCCACATGAAAGATGCATCCCGAAGTGACCTTTTCAATACCCGACCCTACCCGACCCGTTCATGTATGGTTTACCAACTTATATTATATTGCATACCGCGAGTTGATTAATAGTAGGTCTAGGATCGGTTCGGTTCCTGTTAAAATACGATGGAACCGTATTAAAAATTGTAGGCGTCAAATTCAGTTCGGTTCCAGTTAAAATGTAGTTGTTAAATTTGGTTCGGTTCTAGTTAAATTCGTTTCGGTTCTTACCTTTTTTCGGTTCCTTGTGAAAATTTATTATCCTCCTAAAATAAACACATTTTACCTTCAGTTACATAAAAAAATTAAATTTCAAATCATAAAGTTATGACCATTACATTATACTGAGTACGTGATATTCCAATGTTCAAATATCACAAAAATATCCAAGATAAATTTAGAGATAACAAAAACATAAAGGTTTAAAATAGGCATCAACTTTCAAGCAAAAAAGTTTAACAGTTCCAAGGTACACATCCAATAGCAAGTAGTTCAACCCCAAAATAAATTATTCTACTAGTAATGCACTATAAGTAAAAAGTATGTAGTAATCAATTGACCGATAATATTACTAATTTACTATGAATAAATAACAACGTAATCAACAAAATATTAATTCCCTTTTTAAGTGAACTCAAATAACAAATACAATTAAAAACAAATAATAAATATAAAAGTGGACTAAAGTAATAAAACAACAACTACTCGGATTTGTCTGGCCCACAATATGTAAGGTATATTATGCAAGATAAATATTCATGATAAGATTTTTCTGCGCAGAACGCCGTCTGGGCACCTCCATTTGAGATGCTTCCGGGTAGAATTTTTTGATGAGATTTTGTGAACATGTTCTACATGAAGTGTAAATAATATCCACCAAATTTCAGCTAAAAAGTCAATCGGGAAGTGAGTTAAATAAAATATTGAAAAACATTGCGTTTTACATGTATTTAGTGTAGTGTTTTTTAATAATTTTTTTAAGTGACTTACTGATTTAGTTTTAGACTCAAATTTGGTGGACATAATCTATATTTCATGAAAAACAAGCTCATAATATTTCATCAAAATATACCACCCAGAAGCGCCTCCAATGAAGATTACTCAAGCAATTTATACGAAGTTCGGTTCCTGGCTAGGAACCGGAACCGAACTGGAACCGAACCGAAAAAAGATGAAGTCCAAAATTATACTGAACTGGAAAATTCGGTTCGGTTCGGATCAGTTTTCCGGTTTTACGGTTCCAAGTCACAGGCCTAGTTAATAGCCAACCCGAAGAAATTGGGTAGACCCAAAAAATATAGCAAACCCGACCCAACTCGCCCGATGTGCAGCCCTACGGCCAACCTATTTTTTTTTTTAATTAAATCAAGGGGAAAAGATCAAATAGACCTCCTTACTATCACGAAAATGTCAATTCCATGAATTCAAAAAGCGTCCGATTAAACCCACAAACCGTTAAAAATGAGGCAAATCGTCTATTTCTCAGGTCTCCTTCCTGTTCCGGTTAAGTTGCGCGTGTGGCATATGACGTGGCATAATTTTTCTTTTTCTTTCTTTTTCTCTTTATCTTTTTCTGGAAAATTCTACGGTGCATCCCTAGATATAGCATGTACCCGTACACTCCCTTTTTTGACCAATCAGATGATAGCACAGTGCCACGTTGACGTCCTAATCGTCTTAGGTGAGGAAATTTAATATTTTGCCGTTTAGTCCTTGGAAAACGAGAAAGTTGAGAAAAAATATAACTGTCTGGTATCCATTTAACGAAGCCACTTTCCGTCCATACTTCTAATTCTTTCCGTCAATCAGCAATTCCCAAAGGGAGGTTAGAATTCTTTACGTAGTAACTACCAGCGAGGTTAGAATGGAGCATCTCCCAATCTTCCGATTTAAGAAGCGATCTAGAGAAGACAGATCTTTCTGGTGTATCTCCTGCAATTGATGCTCATCATACTGATTGCCAAAGCTGCCCTGTCATGACTATCGTATATGAGCTAGACTGTACTTCTAAATTTATCATGGTCAAACCGACTCCACCATACGCTGAACATGGCTTATCACTGGCTGAACTTAATTAGTACCAATGAAGTGCAACATCACAATGCTTTTCTAGAAGATACTGGCTTGGTACCTACTGTGATCAACAATAATGAGGTTGGTTGTTTGTCACTAAATCAGCTTTCTTGTGCTGTTGAACCTCAGATATGTCATAAAATTTGCTTTTTTGTGATTTTTTATGAATGTTTGAGACAAATGCTATAGTATTGAAAGTATTACAAGAAGTGTTCCAAAGAAGTAGTCAGATGAGTGTTTGAAAAGCATTCAAGACAAGTGCCCACCCCAAGTTCAAATAATCAGTCACCTTGTAAAACTTACTTTTATACCAAAGTGTGACCGAATATTTTTTTTTGAAAGCAAAGTGTCGCTGAATATTAAAAAGCTATATTGGATTGAGATCAAAATATAGTTTGTATCGAAGTTTTTCATTCAACTTGGGTGATTTACAAGAGCTGGTGATTAATGAAGACTTTAATTTAAGATGGACGGGACATGTATGTTGATATGCTATGCCACAACTGTATGTATAAGTACACAATTATACACAACTGCTTCAGATATCAAATTTTGGTCTCTCATTGTCCCATCCACTTCATCATCTCAACTATGCTTCAGATTGCTCGTTTTTTTAATACTAAGTATGATTTATATTTATATTATATATATATATATATGTATATATATATATAGGGGTCAGTTCAAGTAAAAAGTAATCTTCCTATGAAAAGTGAGAATAAATCTTGACCTTTGATCACTTGAAAATAGATGGATGAGATGAACTTTAATCACAATAACCCGTTTCAATAAATGTGCAAATGTTTGTACTATAAAGGGGATAGTTTATTGATTAAAAGTGCACTCATGCGTGTAAAAAAAAGATTGTCAAAGTTTGCCAACTTCTGCACTTTTTATTTTATACTGTATTGCACTTTTTTACTCTACGTGTGCACTTTTTAACTATTCTGATACACATTTGTCACAAAATTTTCAATAAAAGTTCTCCGTAATTACAAAAATGCCACCGCGTTTCAACCTTAAAATTTGATCTTTTCCATCCATTTTTTCACATCAATGGCCAAGATTAGTTCTTATTTTTCACCTATGAAGTACTTTTTATTTGAACCAACTTCTATATATATATATATATATTATATATATATATATATATATGCAATCAGTGTATTACATATATACTCCGCGTATATATATATGCGCAGAATGTGCAGTAAGCTTCAAGAATTTATTTGACTGTCTTCCCGGTCGAATTTTGAGCTGAAATTTGGTATGGACAAACTAGACTTGATGAGAAACATGCTCAAAAAATTTCATCAAAAAATTCCACCGGGAACCGCCCCAAACAGTAAAGTTCGGACGGTCCCTCCCGTCCCTCCGGAGGGACCTGATCTTTTCTATATATATATATATATATATATATATATATATATATATATATATATATATATATATATATATATATATATATATATATACGCGGAGTATATATGTAATACACTGATTGCATGGAGCTTTGACACTTAGTAGTCCTTTATTTGAACACAACACTAGGGTTAGCAAAGAGTAGTATAGCTAAACCAAAAGCAGTGGTCTAGAAAAAAGCAAAACTATCTACCTTTGGGTCATAGCATTGCACGTGTGTTTTTATTTCTCCTACTAAACAGAGCATTCTTTGGAATCTATTGATATGAAGTGGGATGTACTATTGACCTAAGAAAGGTTAAGTTTGTGTTTAATTGTTTAAACCATTTTATGATTGTTGTGCTAAGAAGTTTGATGTGTGTTTGTTTTTTGTGGCAAGTATTTCATCAAATATTGATTATATATCTTCTGTCATCCTGCTGTCTACAGAATTTTAATGGTATGGAGCAAGCAAGAGTTGCTGGGATAGAACAATGCAATGTGATAGAAGATATGTGTGATAGATACGGGAAGTTTGATGACTTGTTTGCAGGATTGGATGAGAGCACGCATGATGAATATCTCTGGAAGTTGGGCAGCAGCAGCACTTGTTGAGCATCCTACAAACACCACAATGCCTCTGCAGGATGGTACTGCGTGTGGGCTGGATCTCTCTGATATTTCTTTTGATACGTGTAATAGCCTATTAGGAGGCTTGAATGGCTGTGAAGAAGAGAGCATTTGTTTCCCTGGATTTTGTGCCCCAACTGGTGGTGGGTATCCTCATAATAATTTCTCAGCACCGGAGGGAACCAGTAATCATAGTCTGCCAAGTCCTAAGACCCCCCTGATGAATGCTAACTATATGGAGCTAGATGATCTGATGAAGCCATTGTTCATGTCACAAAATTATGATGATACTACTCAGAGTAAAATGCTCACAGATTATTTTCCGTCATACAACTCTTTCATTGACGAAAGCAACTTTCCTGGCTGCAGCTTTCCTTCATATAGCTTCAGCCCAAAACAGTGATCTCCCTAAAGAGGAATATATATACATCTAAAAGGCGTCAGTTAACAGAGTGTTAGACTGCTGAGAAGGCCTTAAAATGCAGCTCACTGCACATACCCTCATTAAAAATTTCTGGATGTGTAGAACCAAGGCACATTAAGCCAGATGCGTTATTCATCTCTATAGCGCACTGCACATCTACATCTGTTTTCTTTACTCTCTGATGATGGTAACAATTGATTGACAGTGGATGTGCTAAATCTTTTTATTTATTCATCTACTATTATTGACAAGTTTGGCGATGTATTAGATGATGAAGTTGATTTCTAATGCATAATTATCGACTTTTCTGCTGTGTTTATAATAGCTCACTCCATGACACTTGGCATACTTCGTGTAAAACTCATAGGCTTCATCTTCACTTCCAAACTGTAGTGCATGTATCTCATCTGGCGTCAGATCTGAGATCCTTTTAAACTCACCATGTTCAAGATCCATGTCGGCGCCATGTCCATCACCAGATTTTTCACTTTCACCACTTGAAAGAGAACCGCCTTCCTCATCTGAATTATCATATGATGAACTGCCACATATATTCATCTGTAATAAATAAGAACATATTAAAGTATATTTTAATTAGTAACTATTCCAAGTAATTGAATTCTAAAAAATGTCAAAATCCATACATTACATCTTCTAATAAGACTGTTATTTCCTTCCAAATCATGAAAGGAAATAATGTTTTAATTCCTTTACTCTAGTGAGCATTTCTGCTTTAGCAAGTCTAAACAGCTCCAATTTGAATTACTATACATACCACTTAACTTAAAGATTGTCTTGTGAAATTCTCTCAAACAAAAACAACTCAATTTTATCATGAGAGCTTATATGAAGCCTTGTCCTTCTTCCTTAAAGTGTAAAGAATGACTTCTTATGTTATACTCCAAGTTGGTTACAGTTGTTCCACTTGTTTAAATCTTGCAAGTTAGAATTAATATTAAGGATTCAATCTTATGCTGATAGTTTTCTACATATTGTGTTGATTTTCCTCCAGAGAATTATGTTTCACCAAGCTACGTCTTTTTAGTTTTATAATGGTACAGCTATTGGAAATTATGTATTCTAGCTAATTCTTATTTATATGCTGATTTCTGAACATGATTTTTTGAATATATATGGTAAACATATCGGAAATTAGATCTTTATGTTAAAACAGGACTCTGCTTTGGGACATAAATGAGTTTTCAAACATGCCTCTTTTTATGGGATGATGGAAGCAGTTTTTTGAGACCCAGTGTCTGAACCAAAAAACCGATATGACTTTTAAGTCATGTCTGTGCGTGTTCAACTACATTATATGGATATTTTCTAGAAACTGATCTTAAAATTACACTACACTATTATCTATTGAACATTCTTCACTACACGGACTCAGTCATAAAATATGTAATTTTTTATTCTTCTACATAAGATATATTCTCCTAGTCATAAGATTTGTTCAACACTGCATCTACTTTATAAAGAATTATCATTTGAATCTGAAATCAGTATGGGGTACATTTTCCGTGCTAAGCAAGACCTGAGAAGGTGTTCTTCATGAACATATAGAGAAACTGAGGTTCCTAAGTCACTTTGTACTTCACTTGAAATAAGAAAAATGAAGCACTTTGTCCTAAGAAAAATGACCCATAATACCATTTTAATAGCATTGGTATATGTGTGATTCATATTATGTGTGCTGTGAATTAATCCCTTGGCTATTATCAGATGTACAAATGAGATTTCACTGTTTTATTTTACTTATTTATGTTAGTCTTATTTCTAAATACATAGTATTACCACTCAAGTAAAGTTCCTCTCACTTTGTCTAAATTCAAAGTTAGCCCTTGAGCCAATGTAGAAAGAACATAAAGTTAATTGATAACTCAACTAAATCCAATCATAATCACGATATGAACATCAAAACAAGGCATAGTCTAAGAAATAAGGATTTCGAGATTGTTTCTTGCCTCTGCGTTCTCGCCGGAGATTGCCTCTTCGTTGGGCGGCGCAGCGTCTTCAATAATTGGGCTCCACATGTTATTTGCGCCACAGGTTCTTCTTCCTCAATTCGGCGAGTTCTCCTTCCTTGCGCAGCCTCTTCCTTATTTCGGCGAGTTTTTGCTTTCTGCGGTTTGTAACGGCAGCCGTTTGGTTACCGTCGGATGGAGATTAACGGGAGATGGAGGAGGGATGGTATTACAATTGCAAATATTGAAATTATAGTTGCTTGAGGTGTTAATACTAAAATTAGGTGACGTGGAATCCTCTCTTATCTGATTGGTTTAAAAAGTGATGTACCAAAACACTCACTTTTTTTGTATGTACCGTAGAAGCCCCCTCTTTTTCTTCTTTGGTTTCCTTCTTTCTCTTCGGCTGCCTTTCTTCTTCCCTGTGTGACCTACGTCTGCAACTTCCTTCCTCTTTTTCTTTATCTTTTTTCTTCTTCATTCTCTCTCCCAGGTTTTCCGTGAGTCCTCTTCCATCCGTTCACCTCGTTCATCGCCCTCACTCAATCTCCATTCCAGGTTTTCTTTGCAACAGAAATTCCTCATCAACGTTCCCTCTTCTCCGATGACTCCGGCGAGCAACAAGGGTCGGCGAGATTCTGCAACGACTCATACATCCAAGTCAGCCGATGAGTAACGTGAATTTGCCTACAGAGCTGCCAAGAGGCGACCGATTCCAGATCTACGACGTCACCCGTCTTGCCCGCGAGTCTGCGACGAGCTCCTAAGTGGGCGGCTTCTCTGAGATCATTGCCGGTTCGATGCCTCAGTCAATTTCCGTTCATCTTCCCCGGTTGGACAGAAGCTTGCACGAGACAACTCCCTTAGGCAGAAGTGAGTCAAGGGACAAACTGGGGAGAGAAGAAGAAAACGACGAACCAGGATCACTAGGAAAACAAAAAAAACTAGAGATATTACCAAAATGGGACTAAAAAAGTTTGGAAATTCCAAAATAGTACTTCCATGTTTTTATTCCCAAAATAGGACTAATTACTGTCATGTTTTGGCAGTACCAGACTTCAAACATGGCAGTATTTTCCAACTTTGGCAGTAATTAGTCCTATTTTGGGAATAAAAACATAGCAGTCCTATTTTGGAATTTTCAAACTTTTTTAGTCCCATTTCGGGAACTTTCCCAACAAACTATTTGTACCCACTATTGTACCCACTTTTGTACTCATTATGTCTGTGAGGAGTTCTTTGCTTGTCTGTGAATCCCGCTCATAGACAAAAATATGTCTATGAAGATATGGTGAGTACAATAGTGAGTACAAGAAGAAGGGTTGGTAGGAAAAAAGAAAAAAGAAAAGAAAGGGAAGAAAGAAAAAGAAAAATAATAAATTTACACATGTATGGCCACGTGTCACCGCGTGCAAAAACCTACATGGTAACCGTTTAGTCACCTGATAAAAAACTAATTTGAATGTTTTTTCATAGTTCGGGTGTTTAATTGGACGTTTTTTGAGTTCATGAATTTGATAGACATTTTCGTAGTAGTAGATGGACCTATTTACCCTTTTCCCTTGAATCAATAAGCCAAACGACGTCTTTGGTGAAAAAAGACGTCGTAGAAAGACGACGTTTTGATTAGTGTTTCCCCTCTATTGGCGTTCCTCCCCGTTCCAGTCTTGAGTTGAGACCTCGATTTTCTGCCTTCGTCCAGCCGTCCAGAGCTCCGACCGTCGCTCATTCCAGACTTCGAAGTTCGAACTTCCGCCATCGTCTAGACTCCAGAGGCTTGCAGTTGCAGATGGCAGTTAAGGTCGAGAGTTATTCGCTCCAGAGCCTCCTTCAATCCTCCCTCGCGTGACTCGCATCTGATACCCGCCGCAGGCCGCCCGACTGTGTCACGCCCCGGACCTACCCGGACACGTCAACAATCCGCCGTACAGTACGAATAGTCAACCGCAGTCCAACACATCCATACTATACAAGGCGTCTGGAATATCGTTCACACATAGTACATCCATAAACCAACATAATGTAAAATATTCATTCAAAGCAGCGGAAACATTTAATACAAATGTTCATGCCACACTTTGGCAACCAGGGGCATACAAGCCCCCAAACAAATATTTAAAAATAATATCCATGAGCATTAGTTTATAAAGTTTGTTAAATAGAAACGAAGGAAGCACGAACCATGTCTCCTCTTCTTGGATCCTCCCGAAGCAACGGCGATGGTAGCAACCTTCAAGTTCTACCTGAAACTGTGAGGTGGCCTCCCCCGTGAAGGGGAGGTCAGTACTTGGAAGCATTTGACAAGTACAATGACAACTATACTAAGTATAATCAAAGTTTCAATTTCCAAGACCCTCAATCTAGGATGTTATTATTTTATAGTTAACTCATGTTCCTTCATGCTAGAGCTCGGCTCATAGTCATACTAATTTGTGCTAGAGTTCGGCTCATGGTCACACTACATTTTGCTAGAGCTCGACTCATAGTCATACTACATTTTGCTAGAGCTCGGCTCATAGTCATACTACATTTTGCTAGAGCTCGGCTCATAGTCATACTACATTTTTGCTAGAGCTCGGCTCATAGTCATACTACCACGTGCTAGAGCTCGGCTCATAGTCACATCATCTAATACCTAAACAACTTCTTAGTCTAGGCTCCATCCATTTTGAGTAACCCTTAAGGCCCACTCCTAATGTAACTTGAGTTCATAAAGTCCACCTTAAAAATATCTTTTAAGGTTACTTAGGGCGTACCCACCACAACTCAATATCTTGGGATTTGCTCCAAAGAACCATTGAACTAACATTTCCGACCAGTATTTCTATACTAGACGTTTAATCTTAATATAACCAATGCTAATTCATAATAGTTCGTATATTTCCATTTAATTCTACATTCAAGTATAATTTGGCTCTAATATCAAAATATCACTTTTATCCTTCCATGACTTCCTTACATGAGGTAAAAGTATATTTATCACAATGAAATTCATGGTTAATGCAACTATCATGCCATTGTATTCATAACACATAATCATACACAATTTGTTCATAAATTTGTATATTATGCATTTTTACTCATAAACAATAAAAATGTCATTTAGGCATTTTTTAATCATTATTAAACCATGCCAAACACATTTAATTCATTTAGGTAATCTCATGAAATTAACCCAATAATTATAAGCAATATAGTCGGTCATCCTCACCTCAAGTGAGCTTAAGCGCGTTCCACGCTTCCCGATTGAATTTTGACTAATTCCGGCGAACTTTGACCAACTCCGGCGAAACTCCGGCGAAGCTCAAAAATACTTTAAATCAAGTTCCTAACAAGGTTTTAACATCAGAAAACCTCAATCAATACAAATAACCTCTAAAAGGTTATTTTCCGGTGAACCGGTCGTTTTGGCTCTTAAGTCCGTTCTTGGACTTAGAACCACTCTCCAACCCATTATTCCACACTCTTAGCATGTAGAACAATCTCAAGGGTTCTCAATATGATATATATCTCATATGGTAGGAGAAAAATAAAGGAAAAGTTAATATAAGGTTATTACCTTAATCTTTCTCACTTTCTCCCAACTCTTTCCTTCTTAAACCCCTTCTTTGGACTCCTTAAGCTTGAGCTTAGTTCTTGGCTATGGAGGATGAGGTTGAAGAGGTTATCTCCCTCTCTTGGGTCTCTTTGGCCGAAATAATGGGTGAGGGAAGAGGGAGATGTGTTCTCTTTTGTTTCTTTAGGAGAAAATGGGTGAGGGGGTCCCTTTGGATGTCAAAGGTGTTCCTCCCATCCCCTCAAGAGTTCTCAAGCCCAAGTGTGACAAAGACCAGCCCCCCTTTGGCTGCCAAATTCGTGGGTTGGCCCCCACCCATGTGGGAGGTCAACCCCTTTTGTCCAGAAGTGTACAATCGGCTCCGAAAGTTGTATTTTTCGGACTGTCTTTGAATATATTTTATTTTATCGGGTCAAATAAAATATATCATGCGTTCTCAATCATTATGATACTTATAATGAATATACATTCCCCAACTTTATTTTATAAGTCCCCGAAATTCCATTTTGGGCTTTTATCGGTTAAATTACCAATACCGATATTTGGGCTTTTTTTGACCAATCGGTCAACTATGGACCTTTCCATAGTTCAAATGAAGTACCCACCACTATATAAATATTATCTTGACCAAGATAAATAAAATATATGGCTTCGGAAATTTTGGGCGGCCCCCGCTCCCGGTGTGGGCCCCACGTGCGAATTTACTATTCACACAAAAAGAATTAATAAAAATTCACAACTTCGCATACTCATTAACCATTCCACAAGGTTCAATACATTATTCACTTAAAAGTAAATACATTTGGGGACGGTGTTACAGACTGCCCTAACGTGTTTCTCCAATCATCTGAGTAAAGCCAGTTGCCTGGGCTAGTTTGGTAAGTAATTTTAAAATTGAAATCTGTTTTAATTACTTTTATTGGTTATTTGCTTTAGTTAATTGTTCCGTTTGAAATTGGATTGATTAATTGCTTTAAGGTTTGATTTTTTTTTTGCAAGTTTATTGATTCCTCAGCAGAATTGCTTTTTAGTGTAATTGATTATAAGCTTGAATTGGTATAACCGTAAACCGTATAAAGTTGAAATTGAAAGTGTTTTAATTGTTTTAAATTTTAATTGATTATAAGTATTTAAGAACTTGAAATTAAGAATGGGAGATGAATGACACTTTGGTGATCTATATGGAGAAAGGAATTTTTTGCCAAAATTGAAAATGAAGCAATTTTGCAACGTATTCAATGTATGCAGACACACCGCACACAATTGTCTAAATTGACTTCTTCTTCTTCTTCTAACATTTAATTGTAATGTAATGTACTTTTTTCACAAATTTTATATTCTGTAAACTTTAATACGTAACAATTTATATTTTTGCATTTTGTAATACTTTTAGCCACCCCTTTATTTTGTTTCTGATCAGCCACTGGTCGCAGAGGTAAGAGTGAGGTACCTCGTTTTATATACTGCACTTCGCACCTCAAATACTTGATGCTCTCCAGAAAGGGGCGTTGTAGACGACGAGATAGTACAATGTCTTTTGCGATATCTAGAAACAACAGAAGAAACTGGGTATCAACATCATGCTGCTTTTATCCGGTCCTCTGTTATGATCCCACACCGGTCAAGTGCCGGCTTGGCCGGTGGCTTATAAGCAATGTGTTCCCTCCTCCTAATTGGCTGGTATTTTAGGAGTGAGTTCTACACATGGGCTTATGGCACTGTTATGGGCCTAGTATGGGCTAGGTCCGTAACAATTGGTATCAAGGACGTCCCCATCTTCCTAGTCCCGACACTCGGAGTGGTGGCCTATGGAGTGGTGGCTTGGGCCCTGGGGGTGCCAACCGTGACCAACATAGCCGTGACAAACGAGGACTTTTCAAAGCGTGGGGTATTGTTACGATCCCACACCGGTCAAGTACCGGCTTGACCTGTGGCTGATAAGCAATGTGTTCTCACCTGCTTTAACTGCTGGTCTCTACGCCTATTATGGGCTGGGTCCCTAACCTCTTTGCCTACAGCTACGTTCTTCATCACTGAATGCCTCCCATTTTACGCTAGCTTCATCGGCACTTGCAGCACCCATCTCCACTGCACCCTAGATTTGTTGTCCATTTTATTTCTATCAGAATAACCTACGCCATCAAAGTACAAACCCTTACGGCCTGTTTGGATGGAGTGTTGAGGAGTGTTAGTAATGGAAGTGTTAGTAAGTGTTGATGCTAACACTTGTTTGGGAGAAAAAACCAGAGGTGTTAAGAAGTGTTAGTAATGGTTAGGAAGTGTTAATAATAACCTTCCCAACACCTCAATTGTCCATTTTTTTAACACCCCGATTTGGAGTGTTTTGAGGTGTTGGACAATTATTACCCTTCTCATTTGCCTGAAAAACATAAAATGCTTCGACATTTCACTTCGAATGTCTTTCCCACGGGTCTGATGGTTTGTTTTTTCATCTCTTCTCTTCACTCTTTCTTTACTCTTTCTTTAACACTTCCATTATTAACACTTCATTCATTTGACTCTCCCAAACAAGGTAAAATTATGTCTAACACTTACACTTCCCTTCCCTTCGGAGCCGTTACTAACACTTACTAACACTTCCATTACTAACACTTCCAAACACTCCATCCAAAGAGGCCCTTAGCATAAGGATGGCAGTGCAATTCATTAAAAATTGAATTAAGTTACACTCCAAGTCATTTGATTGATGTATGTTTAAATTTCCAAACAACAGAGGCACCACGGAGCCATGCTTTTGTTTTTGCTGGATCACATGGAGAGTCAGAGGTTAGATTAGAATCGCGGCCAATGAATAGATTAGATCATCCTCCATATAGCGCTGCTTTGCCATCACCGCATCCTCCTTTGCCGCCTTTCCCTCCTCCTTCCAGAGCTTTCTGGGAACCCGCAAATGTGATCGATCGCCTCAAAGAACTATATGAGACTATCAAACTCGCCGAAGCTATGTAAGCCGTGTTCAATATTTAAATCTGTCTCTAAACCCTATTCTGCTCTGGTTGTCATCAGTAATTTCTTCTAACCACCCCTATTTTATAGGGGAAAAGAGCTGGAGGTGATTGATAGGAGGAAAACTATAAAAGGAGATTCCGAGGGTTTGGAAAATTTGGCCACACCTGAAGAGGGGTTTTTCAAGTTGCTATGTATAAATAAAATAGATTTGAAGTGCCAAGAATTGCTCTCATTGGAAGCTGCAAATGCATTGATATCAAAGTTGAAAACTCAGCTCGAGCCATTTCGGGTTGTTGTTGATGATAGGGGTCCATGGGAAGAAAAATCCAGTGCTATCAGATTATGTGACCAACTGCAAAAGTACAAACGGAACAAACTTTGGAGGAAAAAGAAGAGGAAACGAGTTGCAGAGAAATTAGCTATGGTTATAAAACTGGAACATTTCATACACCTTGTTTTCTTATCTAGTTATTTTGGAAATAATGGTTGCATTTTCTCTCTCAATTTATAGGAGAAAGAAAAATTTGAGCAATTGGATAAAGAAGCTGATGAGTGGATGGCTAGGGAAATTGCAAAGGATGTTGCTAAGCAAAAGGTATGGTCGTATGGACGCAATGTAAATTTGCAGTCTCAATTGGCTATAGTCAAGTTACTAAAGTATATACTTGAAGCTTTTTTTGTTTTCAATTCAAATCCATAAGCCTCATTCTATTAGCATGTTGTGACTGCTCTAAAGCATGTCCTTTTCAAATTACTTTATGGTTCTTTTCTTAAGACTTGTGCAACTACATGTTAATAAAATGATCACCAAATGTGTAAACTGGCTTAATGTGACATAAAAATGCGTGCCTGCCATGGGCTTATTTTGGTAACCTATGTATTTCATTTTATCTCGAAAGATGAGAGTGTTTGGATTGCTAGACATGGAGGGTCCAATATTATGATGCCTTCTTTTGAACAGGTTGCAAAGATGAAGGAGATAGCAAAGCTGAAAGAGAAAGAGGAGAGGAAAACGTTAGGATCTGAGGTAAGTTTGGCCGACATGTAATAGACAGACACCACAACTAATCACTATCTTTCTTAGAATAACTGAGTTTCAATTCTTCCCGATTCTATATTTTGCTTCCCTTGTAGCCAATTTCATTCATTCTAGCCCCTCACCTAAATCGAGTAAATTCAGCCCCGTGGGAACATCACAAAGATAGGGTATGGAAGATTGAATTGAGAAGAATTTAAAATAACTGAGGGGACAATATTAAATTAAATTGACAAGAATGTTACAGAACCAATAATAACAAATGAGGGGTCAAAATACAATTTCATTTATTCTGGAGCTGTTTCTTGTGCAGAAATTATCTTTATCGATTAACTAACTTGCGCTGTGAGAGATAAAAATTGATTGTAATGCTACTGTTGTCTCCGGTGGCGGGCTTTTTTCTCGTCCACAAATCTGCTAAAGCAAGTAACATACATGGAAATTTGTGATTTCAGCTTGAGCTGGCATTGATGGTGGAGAAGTTGCAGGAATTAAGGTCCATCAGGATTCAGAAGTTGAAAAAACAAGGTACTTCTCTGGGATCTAACTACATGCAAAGCATGTTTTCTATCAGTCTAGGATGTGAGACAATTCTCTCTTTTTTTGGTCCTACAACTTTCAGCTCATCTCTATTCTGATCTTCCTACTAAGTCCTTCCCAGCCACTTATCTGGCCAGATTCCATGAACAGTGCCTACCATCTTGCTATGATGCTACACCCATCAACAACCTTGATGTTTAAAAATTGAACCCTTTGAATTCACGAGGCTCATAATCCTCATATTAGACTTCATAGTAGGTTTCTTGTTGGGCTGAAAGTCCATAAATGGCAACAAATCCGTAACCATGCGCCATAAGTGGGAAAACGAAAAGAATGGACAAAAGTAGGGGTCACCTTGATAGTTGTGAGATCAAAGGTGAAAAGTTTTTAGAAATTTTATCATCAACGCTCAAATGAATGGTATATTTGGCATCCCTAAGAAAAGGAAAGAGTTATTTGGCATTAGTATCACTTTGGTCGCTCAGCATGAAGACTTATATGAAAGTTATTTTTCCACGCCAGGACGTTTTCTTCCGGATGAGGATGACCAGTTTCTTGAGAGAGTGAAAGCTGCAGTTGAGGAAGAGGAGCGACTAGCAATGGCTGCAGCAGGGACAGCAGCTGCAAAGGATGCCATAGCAACTGCAGAGTCCAGCAGAAAGTTGGAAATGGGCCGCCACAACAACAATAACACCACCATCAACAACAACAACAATAATAATAATAATATGAACATCAAGGACGACAAGAAGAGCCAAGAGGTGGCGGCAACGATGACCAAACCCGAAGACAATAAACCAATGGAACACAACCAATGTGGAAGAAGCAGTAGTGCTGCTGCTACTTATGTCTGCTCGCTAAATTTGCCTATGGAGTATTACCACTACTACTATGGGAGTAACCATGATATAGGTACCCTTGTAGAGGTTCGAAGACGATGGGATGCTTACTTAAGGTCTGGTGGAAGTCGCATTCCCGGTCACTGGGTTCAACCCCCACCACCTGCTGACCAGACATGGGCTTCCTGCTTGCTCAAACCTTGATTCAACTCCACTTGAGGAGTCTCCTCTAGGAGAACGCATCTCTCTAACATTATTTTATTGTTATTATCAGTATTAATGTTATTAGTATTATTCGATGTTTGCTCTGTATTATTGTTGTTTTGTCCTAATACAATCTTCATTTCTCTAACATATTGTCCTAATTAATGTCTATTGGAGTATTCATTACGAACTTTAATCTTTCATTGCTAGATTGTAGGCCACAATTCAGCAAAAACTTTACTTTGGATTTACCCCGTATAAATTGGAAAAACCGGTTAACGTTGGTTTTCTATTACTATGCAAAATGTAATCAGCAATTAATCTCCTAAATCAAAATGCGCTCAAATTAACTAAACACTTCGATTATTAAAAAACAGAAGACTTGACATCTTTTAATAAGTGGATTAAGGTCATCCAGTTTAGGCTTGGACTCGGGCCGGGTGGCCCGACCCAGAATTGGACCCGGCCTGGCACTGTTTGGCACTGGTCCGAACCGGTGGCCTGGCCAGGGACCGGTCCGGGTAGGCCCGGCCCGGGGGTTTTCTGGCGCGGGCTCGAGTCAGCTATATATGGAACCGGCTGGGGCCGGTTTGGCCTTTATTTTTTTTTTTCTTTTTTCATTTTTTTTTTAATTTCCCGGGTTGAGCTGGGTATTTTGGGCCATTTGGGGTGGTTTGGGGGGGTGGGGTTAATTAGAAAAGGGAAAAAAATAGAAATTGGCCCGAGGCCCGACCCGGACCCGGACCCGGACCCGGACCCGGTGGCAACCCGGGCCGGTCCCGAGCCTTCCCCCAACTACAAAAGGCCCGACCGGGTCTAGGCCCGACCCGGCCCGGTTCCATACCTAATGCGGTTAGCTATTCTTACATGATGTTAATTCCCACAGCAAATGCGAGTGTCCATCTATACTTGATGGGTTAAGTAACTCTGGATAGAATAACAATACAAACGTTAGTTTATTTTTTTCTCATTTAGGAATGTGTTATTTATAGGTAGGCATGGCCTCGGTTCGGGCCGCCCGGCCCGGGACCGGCCCGACCCGCTACTGTGCGGGCCCGGCCCGGCTTTCCGGGTCCGGGTCCGGTTCGGGCCGGAGGCCCGGGGGTGGGGCGGTTCCGGGCTCGGTTCATGGGTTTGACGGCCCGGCCCGGCCGGTTCGGGCCCGGGTCCGGGCCAAATCTATTTTTTTTTAATTTTTTTCATTTTTTTTGGGTTGTTGGGCTTGGGCTATCTGTTTAGGCCGGTTTGGGGGGGGGGGGTTTGGGGGGGGTGGGGGGTGGGGGGGGGGAAGAAAGGAAAAAAAAAAACGGGTGGCCCGAACCGGCCCGGAACCGGACCCGGGACCGCCCTACTCCGGTTCGGGCTCGGGCCTGCTATTACTGAACCGAGGCCCGGCCAGGCCTAGGCCCGAACCGGCCCGGTTCAGTCCACCACTATTTATAGGTAAAATTTAGTAAAATTTAGTTTTTGGAAAAAGCAATGTACCTTATGTACAAACATTAGTTGTATTCCTCCTTTTCTCATTTAGGAATGTTTTATTTATAGGTAAAAAGTAACACTTGGACTATAAGCTCAGAATGCTAGCCAATAAGTAAGTTACATGTGACCCTTGAAAGTCTTGAGGCTGACCCTCTATTCTACCTTGGGAGAACACATAAGATTAAAAGTTTTTAATCCTTCACAATGAAATAAATGTAAGTATTTAAACTACAAGATGATAAATGATGGTGATGGCATAGTGAGCCCTTAATGACTAACTCTCAACTATAGAATCTTCCATATCTGGTGAATTAAATGCGCTTCTCGCCACTTCCTTGCTTTCTCCCCAATTATTTTGAAGGAGTGAGCTAAGTGCCTGCATACAGAAATCCAGTAAATTTTCCAAGGAGTCCATGTCGCCCGGGTTTGGGGCCTATTTCATAGGTTGTTGGGCCTACTAGCTGCTGGGGGAATGTGGGCCTGCCTCGTGCTGAACCGTATATCCCAACAAAATCAAATCAAAGGAAAACTGAATCTAAATCAAAAAATTGAAACATAATTGTTTGATTTTGATTCATCTTTAAAAACCGAACTGAACAATCAAACTTTTTAAATATATGTGTTATTTTATTTATTAATTCTTAAGTATAATATTTTGTCTGGTTCTTAATTCTTAATTCTAGAAAATTAATATTTGATACTAGATTTATTATGATTTTTAATATATTGATATTTAAAATTTATGTTTTAAAGCAAGACATTTGTATATACACTTAAGTCGCTGGCTATAATACTAATATGTTGATATTTTAAACAATAATATAATTTACACTTTACTTATTGCATGATAATGATATTTTGTTGTTATATTATTCATTACTCTTGTTTGTTATCATACAACTTTCTTTCTATTACAGGAAAAAAATGAATTCATCTAAACATATGTTAGACAACATATATAGTACTAGTATAATAAACACAAAATATTAAACTTTCAAGCATATACACTCCTATTATTATATTGAATAATATAATTAATAATACACAAATTATACCATGAAATCGCTACATTATGCACCTTGTTTACATGTCCCAATATGACATGTTTTTATTAATTAAAAAGAGAGCAGACAACTCACTTCTTCTCCGAGACTAATATGAATTCAACTGAACTCTGAATTTAACTTTTTGGTTTCTCTGAGTGGGAAACTTGGAATTAAAGGACCAATGTAAAAGAAACATTTCGATCAAAGCATGGAGATTACAAAAAATTATGGAAAGGAAGGGAATTGCACGTCGAAAAGCAAATAAGGGGTGGCCCAAGGGGCTGATGTCGAGGTCATCTCCAGCTAGGGCGCACACACGCAACTAATAGGAGGAGGCGGTGATTGTCAGAAATATTTTGGGCATAGGAAATGGATTCCATATCGTCGATGGATTCTCCACAGAACTGCCGATGCTCGCTACAATGCCTGTGTGCGGGCATAGCAAAAATAATTTAAATAGCTCAAACTTTAATGAGGTGTGGGATGGGAAGCGTATAAGTTACAACCGGCTGTACGGTGGCAAACTTGTAATTTTGATGAAAATCATGAATCCTCTTAAATGAGCATTGAATCAATTTTGATGAGCATCGAGCCTATTCTTTTAAGTAGTAGGAGTCTAACAATGAGCATTAGTGATATATGTTTCATTCCTCATATATCACATTCCGTTTATTATTTTTTCGTTTATTAAAGTCTTAAATTATGTCTATAAAATTTCATTTAATTTCAATATGTGAATCTAATGAATTATGATATGTTTAACATGTGCAACATTTTAAAATGAGCATAAAACAGTACCAAATGAGCATACACAACTTACAAAATGAGTATCAAAATATTAAAAAACTCATTTGTGTGTGCTCATTCATTTTGGGCGTTATAATCATTTGAGTTTAACATAAAACTCATTTTGAAGTATGCATGAATATGACATTTTAAAATGAGTATTGCACTAATATCAAATGAGTATACATTAATTACGAAATGAGTATTCAAAAAACTCATTTGAAATGTCTACTATGCTCATAATTTCATTTGTTATGCTCATATTATAAATGTCTGAACTCCCTCACGAAATTTGGGTAAGAAAAAGAGAAAAGGAAGAGTCCAGAGCAAGAAAGAGGGAGAAGAATCAACTGGGGCTATACACCGGGAGGAGCCGCCACACGAGCCGCCGCTCAAGCTAGAGTTTGAGGTGCTGCGCTCGTGAGCGGCGAGCGAAGGATGAGTAATTAACGATCTGCGAACTACGATGGAAGCCTGCGAACTGCGATGGAAGCTCTGCGAACTGCGATGGAAGCCTGTTATTGGCGATGGAAGCCCTGCGATTTGCGAAATAAAAGGCCGGATGTACCGTGCGCACGGTACAACCGGCTGTACCATGTAATTTACCGTGTGAGGTGTGTACCTTAAACATGCATATGTAATATATAGGGAAAAGTACATAAAATGTACTTGTAGTTTGGGCCATTTTCAGATAGGGGCATGTGTTTCATTTTCTAACAAAATGAGGCATGTGTTTCAATTCCGTTACCATAGCAAGGGCATGACATCTACCGCCGTTAGAAAACTTAATCCCGGTTTTAAAAAGTCTCCGAAAATTAAAAGAAAAATACTGGGAGGTGCGCCTCGTCAAGGAGATCAACAAACTATCTTTATTTTTTTTTTCTAGCCACCATATCTCCAGAAAGTCCACCAGAAAATTGATATTAGCGAATTTGTTTTTAAAGCATAATCCAAATAGAGCCGAAAAATCCAAAGAGAAAGATAGTTTGTTGATCTCCTTGACGAGGCGCACCTCCAAGTATTTTTCTTTTAATTTTTCGTAGACTTTTTAAAATCGGAGTTAATTTTTCTAACGGCGCCATGCCCCTGCTATGATAACGGAATTGAAACACATGCCCCACTTTGTTAGAAAATGAAACACATGCCCCTATCTGAAAATGACTCAAACCACAGGTACGTTTTCTGTACTTTTCCCTAATATATATACCCCGAACTTTACATAAAAAGCTATTTTCACACCATGATTATATCGTGTTTACAAATACAAATTTATTGAAATAATAATATAATTTATTGCAATTAACATTCTAAAATTTCATCAGTGAATTAGATAATATTATATTAGCTGCAATTTAATTTTAATTGCATCATCATATACGTTTTGGGTATTTAAAATTATGTACTAAACACCATAAACTTACATTTATGAGAAAATGTATGGTCATGGTGATAACATAACTTTTTATATAAAGTTTGGGATATGTATATTACATGTGCAAGTTTGGGGTACTTATGTCACACCCCTTCAAAGTTTGAGATATTTAAATTATTTCCCCCTTTTAAACCTAACCCAAAATCTGTGAAAATCGTTTGGCAGGGGTTGTCCTTGATAATGCAATTGACAACGTTGCGTATAAAGAAGTGTTTGATAACGTTTAAATTTGGATGTAATATCTTTCAAATTCTGTTACCAGTATGACTTGATTGCAATTGGTCCACAACTTCTGTTGGTGATTGACTCGATTTTACGTAATGTTATATCAAACCTTAATTATTAAAGTTTAGGAAAACTGTTTTTGATCATAAAAACAAGCTTCTATTCATATCAAAAAATTCAATTTAGAAAAAATGTTAAATATGTCCCCGGAGTAGTTTTCGTACTTTAAAAACGTCCAACTAAATCTTCAAACTCATTAAAATCACCCAAATAGGTTATTGAGGCGGTCACCCATTAATTTTTCCGATAATGTATTGCGTTGCAATTCTGGTGGAGTTCCTTTTTTCTGTGTTCCAAATATTTCATATGGCACTTTTTTAATTACCCTTGTCATTAACCCATTTGAGAAGGTCAAGAAGGAGAATTAAGATATAGATCCACCGATCTGGGGATTAGAAATTGAATCAGATGAGGAAGATTCTTTATCCATCTTTGCCTTCTTCTTCCACCCACCGAGATCAAGTGAATTGAATTGGTCAATTGTTTTCTCTTCTCAAGAACAAAGGAATGCCGGAAGCAACCACTGATCGGCAACGGAGCCGCCGCCGCCGCCGCTCGTCTTCACCAATCAGATCATTACCACATCTTCACTAACCACCGACGTTGACTTCACCAACATCCGTCGCAGCTTGTGACTTTAACAACGTGACTTCTCCAAAAAATGTTTGGCTTGCAATTTAAAAGTAAATAACACATGTAAAATGCATGCACTCAAACAATAAGTGCATGTTTTACACGTACTTTGCATGCAATCACTTCGCATGCAAAGATTTAACATGCAAACTACCAAACGAGCCCTAAGAGTGAGCTATCATCATTTCGTCGAAGCATGTATTTACTTGCACTTTCTTCATCACTATCAGTTTTTGATTAAAAAAAACGAAGGACCATTAGCTTAGTAAGAAATCAATCACTTCACATGTAAAGATTTAACATGCAAACTAACAAACGAGACCTTCGTCGAAGCATGTAAAAAAACTAAGGACCGTTGCTGCGTTAGTAAGAAATCTATTCATAGCAACAACGTGATAGAACTGAAATATATACCTCGTCGAACTCAAATTGCTGCCATGGCATCTGATAAAAAAGAAAAGCAAATCGAACATACGTTCCAATGTGATTGTGCCCACAAACATTTATCTCTCAAATTGGTCATATCGGCTGACATTTATGAAATCTGGCCGAAATGTTTGTATTGACATATTTTTGTTGATTTATGAAAAAAATTAATTTAAAATATATTTTATTAGTAAAATTAAAAAAACTGTATGAAAAAACGGCTAAAATGATCATCTACAATAGTTTTCGCCAAAAAATTTACTTCAACCTTACATTTTCTTATTATTACACAATTCAACGTACGAAATCAAAAGTTATGTGCTTGATGAAAAAATTGGCTGATAAGTCGAAAAACAGGGTCACCGAACGGGCTCTATATTTTAAGTCTATGGTCGATTTTTCCATCATTCAGCCATATATCAACATACTCCGTACTTTACCTTTCAAATCGCTTATTGATGGTGCAACTATCTTTCAAAGTCCGATTGGGGTCCCGTTTTCCAGCTTATCCAAGGCCTAAAAACTATGTCTAGTGGAAATATAAAAAATATATTGTATCCTATTTTGACTATATCTAATTGTACTCGTATATAATTAAATCAAACTGAGGTGCGGCTGTGAGACGTTTTGTCTGGGGCTGACCGTGTTTGGTGACCCTGTTTTTCAGACAATCAGACTTATTAGTCAATTTTTTTCACCAAACATGTAACGTTTGATTTCGGACGCTGAATTGTGTAATCATAAGAAAAAGTAATGTTGTAGTAACTTTTGTAAATAATTGACTGAAGTTACTATAGGGGACCATTTTAGTTTTCATGTAATTGTTCTTTATTTTATTAATAAAACACTACGTACATTTTAAATATTAGTTTTTCATAACTCAGCACAATCAGTCAATCCAGCTACTTCAACCAGAATTTCATAAATTTTAATAGAATCAGCCAATTTTAGTGTTATCATGCGGGTTCATAATAGATTTTGATTAATTTATTACTTTTATTAATTTCATTGTTAATTTTTGGAGAAAATAATTTAAATATCCTTAACTTTTTAAATAATTTCCTGTCAGAGTTCACACAGGACCGGAATATTCCGTTTTAATAGGTCTCCAACTGAACCGTAAATTTATTTGTAATTTTGTATGTATAGTGCTGAGTCATTTTGGTGCTATATGGCTATGGACTAAATGGTCAAATAGGCTCTCGAACTAACTCAAATGGTGCAAATCACCCCTTATATAGGAGCCTTTGTCCGGTTGTCGCCATTTGGGGCGGTTCCCGCTGCAATTTTTTGGTGAAATTTTTTGAGCATCTTCTTCATTAAGTCTAGTTATCCATATCAAATTTGAAATAAAAATTCAACCGGGAAGACAGTCAAATGATTTTCTGAAATGTACTGCGCTATTTAACTGTGCAGTTATCTTCAAAAATTCATTTGACTGTCTTCCCAATTGAGAAAACTAGACTTAATGAAGAAGATGCTAGAAGAACTTCATCAAAAATTCCACCGGAACTGCTTCAAATGGTGAAGGCCGGACAGAACCCCTATATAAGAGATAATTTGCACTTTTTAAATTAGTTCGAACGTCGAAGCATATAGCACGGAAATAACTCTTTTCATACAAAATTACAAATAAATTTCCGGTTCAGTGGAGACCTATTAAAACGGAATATTCCGGTCCTGTGTGAACTCTGACCGGAAATAATCCATCTGTTTCCGGTCTGGCTATTTCAGTTCCAGTCCGATCAGGAACGGTCTCTGCCCGGTAGGTGGATTGCTGAGGTAGGTGAATGAGACCTTATATTTCTTCTAAGTGTGCGAAAATGAGAAAAATATAGACAGATATTTCTTGCAGCGAAGGTGATTTCCAGACTGAAACCCCTTAGAAAATTCCAGACTGATAAAAAACTGAGAATTGGACCTGCACTTCTATCCTCCCATCAGCAGCCGCCCCTTCTCTTTGGAAAAAGTTTTCATCATTTTCAATTTGCCATCAAAAGTTTTCTTAGTTCTGAATCGAATCTCAAACCTGGTAAGACAAGTTCCATTCTCTCTACTTATATTTGTTCTTAGGGTTGTTGAAAAGCATGAATTTCTGTTAAAACATGCACTAATTGCACTAATTACATATAAACCACATTTATCTTTCAGAAATCATTTGACTGTCTCCGGATTAAATTTTTGTTCAAATTTGATATGGATCAAATTTAATATGGATGAGCTAGACTTGAAGAACATACGCAAAAAATATACACAAAAAATATCACCAAAAAATAACACAAGGAAACACCTCAATTGAGGTGGCTGGAACCCTCCTGTTCGGCCTGGCCGGACAGGAATATTTGTGTGTATTTATGTATATAGCATATCTAGTTGTAAATGAAACGTTTGTTTGAAAGAATTAATTTAAATCTGAATGCTAAAGTTTTACCGAATTACTCAATTGAAAAGTATTTAAATTTGTTTTGAAGTTTTAACGCTCTGCAAATACCAAATTAGATTTGAGCTGTTATGAAAAGAATTTCATTGTTTTATACCTAAAGTTTGTACACTTGATGCGTCGTATCAAAGGCCAAAACTCGCTGCGATTTTAGTTTGTTAAGCCAATTCAGTTTCAATTTTTTAAGTTGTTCATAGCACCAAGGAAATTTACGTTCTAAGTTTTAGTATATGCAGTAGACAATTAAATCTTTAGGAGTATGACCAGTTTTTGTACTTAGCACATTCTTATTTCATAATTGCATTTAATTAAGACTTTAAGAGATATAAGAGAACAAGTTTCCGGAAGACGTTATAAAGGTGTCACACTTATTTGAATATTTTGAGTTCAGCAGTTAACATGTAAGTTCACTACCACGCATGCATGCTAGTTCAACCAAAAGAAAGCAAGAAGTGGCTGATTTTTAATAGATGGTTTTAGACTATTTGCTATTATTATGTGAGCTTGGTGAATTATTTGATGAGCTGTTTTATTTATTATATTGCAATTTATTTTTTTAAAAGTAGCAAGTTAGTGTAACTTTTCCTTTAAACTTTTCCTATCAATTTCTCATCCTCTGCTCTTGCCTCACTTGCTAGTCGCCCCCTGACTTCTCTGCCTCTCCACTCTTCCAAGTTCTGAGAATCCGACTATCGGATTTTCCTGCTTCCAAGTCGACGAGTCTCCCGTCTCCGGCTCTCCAGTCTCCGCCAATCGCCTGCTGTCCTGCTCTCGGCTCTACTGCTCTAGCCTCTAGGCTGTAGCAGTTTTCAGGTGTGTGCTCTCTAGTGTCTGTTATTCTGTTTGGCTGTGGACTGTGACTCTTTTAATCTGAAAAATGTAAAAATCTAATTTAATGGATTTAGATCCCGTTTGGTAGCACGAAAATCGGCTGTTTTGGCTGATTCTGCTGAAATTTATGAAGTTCTGGCTGAAATGGCTTCATTGGTTGTTTCTGCTGATTTAAGAAAAAAATATTTTTAAAATATATTTTATTAATAAAATAAAGAAAAAATTATATGCAAAAATAGCTAAAATGGTCATCTACAGTGACTTCAGCCAATACAGCCAGAAAACTGACTCCAACCTTACTTTTTCTGATTACACAATTCATCGCACGAAACCAAAAGGTACGTGTTTGGTTAAAAAGTTGGCTGATAAGCCGAAAAACAGGGTTGCCAAACGGCCTCTAATATTAATTTCAGAATTTCATATATAAATCTATAGTTGATCACTTAGATAGTTAGATTACGTATGTGATTAAAGAATTTCTGAACTTCAGGATTTCAGTTTTATTTTTATTCATGCGTGGGGCCTCATTTTGGTATGTAGAACAGGGCTTCTAGACTTTTTAAAAGGCTCTGGTGATTTCTTGATGGGATTTTGTGTTTCTTGCAGCGATCATTAAGTGACACATTAAGATTCCACGTCAATTTAGAGGTGTAGAGTTATACTTATGGAGGCAGCCAATTCACGGAGTTTACAATTCCCCTCATGTATTAATACTGCAAATAGGCTGCCAAGATCAATTGGTTCAATGAATTTCCCAAAGAGGCATTCTGAGCATGAGAGTATTCCTAAATCCCTTTCCTGTCATTTTCAACCCATAAAAGCTACAAACCGACACAGACTAGCTTTGCTGACAGCTTCATGCTCTTCTCAGAATACTCAAGGTAGTCCTGACAATGGCAATTTCTTCAAGCTATAACTACATCACAGCATCAAGGTCATTAGGAAAGTTTAAAAAGAGGTGCTAGCACGATCTTATTGAATTTTTATTTATATTTTAATTTCTCTTTGCAGCTTCAGTGCTGCAATCTGAGAGCCCTCTTCCATCTCTAGATGAAGCTCAGGTTTTGAAGGTACATCTTGTCTGCAATTTGAGTGAGCCATTTTGATTTCTATGGATATTTGTTGCAAATTAAGGGCTCATGCGTTGCAATTCTTTATATAGATTTACCCATTTATCTTGCTGAGACGATGAGTTATTTCTGTGACAGAGAAAATCAGGGGAGATTTTACCATATTTGAGTGGTAGATGTATATATCTTGTCGGTGAGCTCCATTGCCAATATTTTGTAGTATAGCTATTGTGCCCTGTTTGGTAGGCTTATTCTGCTTATCAACAGAACAAAGCAGAATAAGTAGAGCACTTGACTTGACTATTTGGCTGAAATTGGTTTTACCAAATGCTTTTACGTTCAGTTAATATAAGCAGAATCTTCCATTTTAGCCAAATGGCCCTGACCAAATGGGCATGTACTGTCTATATTTCGATTTAAATTTTCTGTTATGCATATAACTTCTCAGGAATGATGGGCTCTGGCAAAACAACTGTGGGCAGAATCATAGCAGAGGCACTGAACTATACATTTTTTGACTGGTAAATGTCTAGAAAGCACACTTTAATCTAGTTAATTTTTAAGTTTATATATCACAAATGCTTCAAAACCTCAAAAAAATTACATAGTATTAAGTTTACATATCACATGTCTGTGTTACGTTATAGATGTTTTACTATGTATGCCATGCAAGTAATAAGTATGTACATCATTTACCTTATATTTAATAATACATAGTAATTCACATATGCTACAATTTCTTTAACTTCCTATAATTACTTTTTTTATTTTTTTCCAAGTTTTAAAGCACACACCCAATATAAATAGTTAAATAAGATTTATACAGTGTATCACACAGGTGGAATACTAGTATAAGCTAAAGAAAAGTGCACTACATTTTTTTATCACTCCAGGGGACGTCTGTGGGCCTTCTGGGGGCCTGGAGTAATTAGGGCTGAAACTCACTCCATTGAGTTTTGAACCCGAGGCCTCCCGTAAGGGAGAGTGAGTTGGCGACCAGCTGGGCTGGACCGCTTCCTCTAGAAAAGTGCACTACAAGAACTAAATTGGATGTTACTGTGTTAAGCAAGTTGTGAGCTTCCATATTCTGTTAACATCTAATGAACAAGGAATATATTTTCTCTGTGAATACTACTTCAGTGATACACTTATCGAGCAAGCTATTGGTGGAACAAAGGTTTCTGAAATCTTTAAGATACACGGTGAAGGCTTCTTTCGAAATAATGAGGTATAAGTAACACGGAAACCTTTTCACATCTCCCTTTGTCCATTCTTCTTTCATATGTTGAAGCATTGAATGCTTTGCATGTTTGATTTCTCTGAGTTTTTCCCCACCAAAATTGTTATGCACCGCTGTGACAGTGTCACTCCCTCCTACAAAATGGCAGCCACATGTTACAGTGGAAGCTTAGAGAATTCAATATACAAACACTTGTTCTTAGAGCTGAAAATGAAAAATGCATATTAATTATTTGTTTCTTGTATAAAATTATTAATTACTAGTATTAATTATGGCGTCTACCTCTGCATTTCAGACAGAGGTCTTGCGCAAGCTTTCTTTGATGCGCCAGATTGTTGTTTCAACGGGTGGGGGGGCAGTTGTTCGGCCCATTAACTGGTACTTAAGTCATGTATAATACACAACCTCTTATTTTAGCATTTTCTTTGAGTTATTTGACTCGAATATTTAGCTGGTGTTTCCTCCCTGAATTTCACTCAGGAAATATATGCACAAAGGCATCACTTTGTGGTTGGATGTTAATGTGGAAGCATTGGCAAGGAGAATTTCATCAGTGGGAACTGGTTCACGGCCTTTGTTACACAATGAATCTGGAGACATTTATGCTAACGTATAAAACTTAAATCGTCAAATTGCACATATGTCTACATGGAATGGTTTTAAGTTTCTAATTTTGTATAAATTATTGTCAAAGAAGGAACACATGGTTTTTTTGTTCTGATACTTCTTCCTTCCCTCACATAGACTCTGAAACGTTTGTCTACGCTTCTGGCTGAGAGGGGAGATGCATATGCCAACGCCAAAGCTAGAGTTTGCCTAGAAAGTGCGGAATTGTTTTCTTTCATATTTTCCCTCTAATCTTTTACTTTAATTCATAATTTTGGTTCACTTTTGTTATTTCTCCAGTATATTAGTGACATTAACTTTTCAGATATTGCTGCAAAGAGGGGATCTGGGGATATTTGCAACATCACTCCTACAGAAATTGCCATTGAGGTCTCTCTCTCCCTCCCTCCCTCCCTACCTCCCATCACATGCACATGCAATTACGTTGTAATTTCTTCATTTATTAGACACACATTAAAATTTGGTTTAGAATGCAGGAAAAGAAAGTTGCTTTTTGTGGCTTTTCCTATGCTTACATTGTTAGCCCAAATTGAGTCTGTGTAGCATAGACCTAACCTTGGGGCACAAGCTACAGTGGTCCTACTAGTGCATTTTAGGCTATACGGAGTACTCGAAATATCTGTCCCAAACGATATTGACCCACTTTCCAATTTTCTGATGTCCCATTTTTATTTTCTCATTTCCTAAAATGGTCGAAACTGAATGACCCAAAATAATTTTTTCTCACTGATGTCATCTTAAAAACATCGAAGATGATGCTTAACAAGAACAATCACAACAACATCGAGATCTTATTCTCAAAAGAGTTTGGGTCAGCTAACTTGAATTGTCATAAGCTATCAGAGTTAATAAACATTAGATAGAGAAAGAGGGAGACAAACAATGACATAAATCTTCCACGTATATGCTCTTCCTAAACTTCTCCCTCTAACAAAACTAGTATCATATCATTTACATAATTTCTGCAAAATGACATGAGTAAAAATATCTGTGGGATGGACAGGCGTAGACACTGTAGAAAACAATAAGGTATTGGTCATCTAACTTAGCCCTAGTCGTTGGCAGGCACTTGAAGAATTAGAAAACTTCTTGAAGAAAGAAAGTGGAGAAGTGCAGTGAGCTACAAATTTAAAACTCGTGGAAGAGTCTAGAAGTGCATTAGCTCCATTTTACACCCACACCCACATTTTGGTCAGTGATCTTGGAGTTGATGTTGCTTCTGATTGGGTACGAGGGAGCTTCTATGCTTTCATTTTGTCTTTCTTCTGCCTTTTATTCTCAGCCCAACCATGACATGTAATATTTAAAGGGGCTTCAAGTATTTAGACTTATGCTGCATTTTTTATACCCCTCGATCAGTTAGTTGATGTATATTTGTGTAACAATTTTCTCATGAAGTTATATGTTCATTTATATAAAAGTTTTGGTTTAAAAGAAGCATATGACTTCCATGAATCCATGACGCTGATGTTAAGTAAATTAATTCTTGTGGAATTAAGCTGGGGTGGGAAACGGTTCAAGGATAGCATTGAAATATTATCATATTTTTAATCTTGTTATCTCACACTTTTACCTTTTTAAATAAAAGGGTGGATTTTATCATCTTGAACACATTAAGGGCCCGTTTGTTATGACGTGAAGTAAACATTTTGCGTGTAAAGTGTAAGGATGTAAACATTTACACCGTTTGTTTTAACAATTTAATGTAAATTGCAGGATCCTTTCTAAATAACATTTTACACTATATCATGTAAAATCTTTTACCTGGGGAGGGTGGTAAACTATTTTACATTGGTTTATACGACCCAGAATAAATATATGGAGCATTGAATTTCCGAGTTTACGACTTCAACCTAGGCGGCAAAGCAAACATTTTGGATGCAAGAAACTCACGTCTTCTCCATCTTCGCAATTCTACATGGACATATGGTATCAATAATATACAGAAAAACCTTCCAACCTTCCGCTATACGCCTATACATGGATTACCTAATTCTATTGGAAAATGCTTTAGGTACACGTTTTGTGTACACGTTTGGTGTACAGTGTACACATGTCTGTCCTTCACAGACAAATTGTCTGTCACAGACAACTTGTCTGTGACACCAAACGTGCACACAAAACGTGTACCTCAGTACCTCTAGCAAGACCCAATTCTATTTGGTATCAAATCCCCTCGACAGAGATCCCTATTCCCAACCCGTGCTTCTGACCCCAAGCTCTGCTTCTCTATCAATACTTAACTGTCGCCCATATATTGCAATCAAGATCAGTGTTTTAAATAGTCGGCCGCTACGGCTATCAAAGCCGCTATATATAGGGATGGACCGGTCCCGATCGGGCTTAGGGCGGTACCGGGTCGGGGAAACGGAGGCCCGGAACCGGCTATGTTTCGGGACCGGCCCCGGATCAGCCGTGCCGATTCCTAGACCCGGTCTCGGTTCCGGTTAATCGGGCCGGTCCGATCCCGCACAATGGCGGTCTAGGCCGGGTCATAGTCCATCACTAGCTATATAATGGTCGCGGTAGCTACCGCTATGGCCGCTATCAAGGTGTGATTTTCAAATCGCAGAAAAGTTCGCTACATAACCGCTACGTTACCACTACAGTCCGCTACGCCGCCCGCTACAGGCCGCTATCGGCCGCTACAGGCCGCTATTGGCACCTCCGGCAGTGCATCACGAACTGGTTGATGTGTAAATGTTGTGTGCATGGTGTGAAACACATTAATGGTGGTGCATGGAGTGAAACTCTAAATTAAATGTACATGTTTTTCCACATACATTATGGGACCAAATATTAATAAATATCTAAATTTGACACCCAAATATTCATAATGTTTCAATTAACTTTAACACCCATTAAATATATGTTTTTGTGCAGTTGAAAATATTTCACGCCACTGCGGCCGCTACAGGCCGCTGCTGAGATGACCATTATCGCTGCCGCTACGGCTATTTAAAACACTGATCAAGATGCCGGCCAACCAGTAGAAAACGGCGCCATGACCACAAAATATTGCTTTCACAAGCACTGACGCACGAGATTAAATTATGTAGTCCATTTATAAATATTTTACGGGCAAAGGTATTTTTCCAAATGAACGTTATAAAGTGTTTGCGTGTAATTAAAAAATAGATTACGTAGATAGCCAAACGATGGAATTTTATTTTACATGCAAACCATTCACCGACCTAAACTTTACACGCGGCCATTTTTCATGCAAAGTTTTAATGTGTGAACTACCAAACGGGTCATAAGGGAGTGTTTGCAAATGCTTTTGATTTTAAAAAAAAACACTTTTTGAAGTGATTTTGAAAAGTCAATGCACCCTTCGGGGCAACTCGTTAAGCCGCTCGTACGGTGTCCCTCGAGTGTGGAGAGAAACCAACAAAAGGTATTCATCCCAAGCATTGACCATTACCATGTTGTTCTGATTACAGTTGTAGTGCTCCCGAGGGGGTCTATATTGTCGTTATAAGCATGGGCGGAGCCAGAATCTAGTGTCAGTGATGTCAATTTATAAAAGATTATCTATATTAGACATAGAATTTTTATTTTTTAGTGGTGACAATTTAAAATTTTGAAAATGAAAATTATATACCTATGTATGGGAAGAAAAAAAAATCCAGCGATGTCAATTGACACCACACCTCAAAGGGTGGCTCCGCCACTGCTCATAAGGCTTGACTTTCTAATACATACATTTATTTGGGATGAGGATGGAAATGACCGTTGAGGTGAAGAATTTTGTTGTCTGTATCGAGATGGCGGGTTCCCCTTGTCCTTCGGCCACCTCCCATTGGAGGTCATCGACCTTCTGGAGCAGTGAGGCGATGATGGAATCATGATTGGCCGTTGTTGTTGCGCTGCCGGGCGCCTCTTATGGGCAAAATATAATGTCGGGCACTTCTCCATCAAAGTATAATTAAATATGTAATTGCACTTTTAATTTTCTTTACCTTCCATCTAAATTACAACTCAATCTTTTAATTTTTTTGTTCTTTATCAATTTATGACAAAAGTTTTAGTACTCTACGAAAATAAGTGTGTTGCATTTCATATTCATACAATATTTTTTATGTAATACGGAGTATTTTGTATATTCATACACGTTTTGTAATATATCTGTTATATCTTTTACATATGTTTGTAGAGTTTTTTAGAAACTGAGATTGTTTATTTTGATTCGTGGAGTTACATTTGATAGTATATACATCTACAGTTTCTTATGCGCGAGTAACATCTTCTTGTGCGCGAATTACAACTTCTTATACGCGAGTTACATCTTCTTACACGCGAGTTACATCTTTTTATGCACAGATTATATCTTCTTATGCGCGAGTAACATTTTTATAAGCGAATTACATCTTTTTATATGCAACTTATATCTTCTGATACACAATTTACATTTGGACTTGACTCAACAAGTTACATTTGACATACACACAATTTACATTTCACATTATATCACGAGATACATTTGACATAACACGAGTTACATCATAAAATAAACCACTGTTATTGAAATTTAAAAAAATGATTTTTCACTATTTACTTAAAGTAATAGAATATTAAATTCTTTTTTCGTGGTTTACATTGAATTCAATGTTTTATTTCTCACCAACTTGTAGTACGCTTTTTACACAAAAGTTATATCACCTTGTTCACGCTTGTTTTACATATGAGAGTTCCCACAATATAAAACTTGTATCTCGTGTGCTCCATTTCGGCCAAGTGTCCCTCCATTTTGGCCATATCACAAAATTGGCGTTTGCTTACGAGCATTTGCCCAACATAAAGTAATGCTATTTAAAATAACTATTACATGCGAGATGCATAGGAGTTTAGTTAAATAGTTAATGAAATATCCTAAAAGGTGACTGGTTTTTCTTTTTACAAATATCTGGTTAACATTTTGTTTAGTTAATTCAATTTTTTCTCATTGTAATGTATATTCAATTTTTGCCCCACCCTCCAATCCATACTTGTCTAGCCTTCGCCGTTGGGAACTTCTATCAAAAGTTGATGCTCTCTTCATCCAACTAAAATTGTCGCATATTTTCTTTTCGGTGTGTCCTACTAAAATTGTCTAATATCAAATTTGCTAAAAAGTTACTCTGTATCTTGAATATGATACGGAGTACTCCATATTATTATTATTATTGGCAAATGATACCCAGTATTACTCACTGCGTCCCGAATATACCTTGATGTTTGCTTTTGGCACGAAGTTTTAGGAGAACAATATTAGCCAAAGCTTTCCCATCTTACCCTTACCCCATTTACATGGCATATTCAACTTTCATCTCTTTCTTCCTGAAGTCCACCAATGGCTTCCTTCGCAGACAGTAGCAACTACAAAATTGTTCAATTACTTGGAGCAACTCTTGACAATATGTAAATCGGGAGCATGAATACACTTACTCAAATTCAAGCACCCATTGTGTTTATGGGCTCCCCTTGGGACCGTGTGATTCCATGGATGAGAACCTCATTGGGCGCACCACCCGATGGCCGCCGCCAAGGATTGAGGACGAATTGGGATCTCCTGTGACACATATACACTTTTGCAACGGGGGAAGGAGCAGAGATGCAGAGTTTCGTCACAAGTGATGTGAGGTCAATGGAACGGCGGTGGTAGAACTATGGGTAGAGCTTGCGATTTTCGACAACCACTTCCAAACGAAATGGATGGTCCCCATTGCACAAAAATGGCGACACAACAAGGAGATGATGGCATCCAGAAGGTTTTATGCGAAGAACGAAACAAGGTACTCAAGGGTAGTTTGAATACTTTATTGTGAAAAAAGTTACCAAAAAAGAAACTTAAAAGATTTATTTGGAATGTTTCGAAAGGAAAGTGTAAAGATTTAAATAGGTCGGAGTGAGTATTATGAACTACTCCGTAAGTGAAAATGGTGGAGTACTTTATTACTCCGTAGTTAAGTAATTTAAATAATGTGACTCGACGGAATGAGCAGCCGTTATTTTAACTAAGGGAACTAGGGAAGTAGAAAGCTACTTTGTTATTAATAAATGAAATAAAAAATTATGGAGTATATGAACAAAATAGCTAAAATGATTCTTTACAGTAACTTCAGTCAATACAACCAGAAAAGTAACTACAACCGTATTTTCTTTTGCTTATTACAACATTCAGCGCGTGAAATCAAAAGTCAGGTGTTTGATGAAGGGGGTGTTTGGATCTGATTCTTAAAACTGCTTCTGCTCCCTTAGGGAGCAGAAACAGAAGTTGAAGTGTTTGGGTGAAAGTGCAGAAGTGATTTTGGTCTTCTAATTTACTCCCAGAATCAGTTTTTTAGAAGCGGAGGGAGACCAGCTTCTGAAAACTGATTCTGATTCTGCTTTAAAAAAGAAGCTGAAGCAGAATCAGTTCCAAACACCCTCGAAAAAACTGCCTGATAAGTCCGATAAGCCGAAAAAAGGGGTCACCAAACGGGCTCTAAATGATATAACAATAGATTTTTACTCATAAATACTCCTTTCATCCCATTTAAATATTTATATTTTCCTGCTTGAGATGTCCCATTTAAATTTTTATGTTTTCCTTTTGACAGCTCTTTTTACATTAAATGTTCTAACTATCTTTCACTACCCACCCAATTTTTACATTTGATTTGATAGACATCTGTTCTCTTGTTTAGTTCCACTCTTAAAATATCGTACCAAAAGCAAATGTCAACATTTATCACGTTTTTTACTTTGATTGTTTTCAATTCCAAACCAAACCAGAGTTGAATATGTATAAAATATACTGAAACCAACCAGACATTTATCAAACCATAAAAATTGAAGAACTAAACCAAACCAAAGGAGACATTTAGCAAACTTGAACGCACGGTTGCAAATTTTTTGAGAAAAAGAGCAAAATTTTCAAATTCCCGCGGAACCTCAGCGCTGTGCGCCCAATCCACTTCCACGTGGTGAGAGTTCATTCGTTATCGTGTCATTCCGAGGATCGCAATCTGAAGCATGAGCCCTGATCCAATCTGAACCGCCAAAGGTGAAATTAATCAACGGTTGGCGCAGTCGCCAACTGAAAACCCAAATCAAAAGGCTCTATAAGAACCCGCCTGCACTTCGTTCAGAATCTCACCACCATTTCAAAGCAAGCCTTCAATCTCTGAGTGTGAATCGATTTTTGTAAGGCTACAAATGGCTCGTACCAAGCAGACAGCTCGCAAGTCCACCGGAGGGAAGGCTCCCCGCAAGCAGCTCGCCACTAAGGCCGCCAGGAAGTCAGCTCCGGCGACCGGAGGGGTGAAGAAGCCTCACCGCTTCCGCCCAGGCACAGTCGCGCTGAGGGAGATCCGGAAGTACCAGAAGTCTACGGAGCTTTTGATCCGGAAGCTTCCATTTCAGAGGCTCGTGAGGGAAATCGCCCAGGACTTTAAGACGGATCTTAGGTTCCAGAGCAGCGCCGTGTCGGCCCTCCAGGAGGCGGCCGAGGCATACCTGGTTGGACTCTTCGAGGATACCAACCTTTGTGCCATTCATGCCAAGAGGGTCACCATTATGCCCAAGGATATGCAGCTGGCAAGGAGGATCCGCGGGGAGAGGGCTTAATCCATGAAATCTTAGGGGGTGCTATCGAATGTAATGAAGCTCTTAGATGTTTAATGTTAATCAGTCAATGAATTCACCTTTTAATTAGAATGTGTTATTGATATTCTGGTATCAACTCGTGTTCAGATGTTCATTCGTCGTTGGATTTCTTTAAATCCATTGTCTCTCATTTGCAAACAACAAAATCTTTTTTTTAGGCGAACCACACTTTGTAGTTTTGTATTTGGATCTTGAAGGAATTTCAGAATCTGCTAAATTGCATTTCTTCAGTTGTCCTTAAATTAATTCTCATTTTTTTGCTAGCGGTATGGATGAACCACAATCCGTATTTCTGATTGTGTGCTTGAATATTTAAAAAATAGCATTGAGGAAAGAAATGAAGTGTTGCAGGTCTGCTTTACATGCTACCAAATTAAACTTAAAAGTTTAATTCAATTTTTAAATTTCTGTAAGAAAAAAATTCAATTTGAAACATAATGTGGAAGCTTGCATACAGTCTAATTGCATTACTAAGGTAGGATTTTTCTGGTTTTCTTGGTAACTCAAAATATATTTGGGGCCAATGGACTAATAATTATTATTAGGCGTGTCATTTAATATTTAATTAGGTTTAACCACACCGTTAACAAATTGTCATTAAATTTGAGGGGAAAACAGTTGATAAAATATACTCCGTATAAATAACCACAAACTTTTAAAGCTAAATTCCACCCAATTCATTCTTCAGCTGTATAATGTCATGATTTACACTTTTGCTATAGGGGATTTGGATCGTGCCACCATTCTAATATGCAAGCTTCTTCCGAAACCAACAGGTGTGGGTTATATCAGTCTCTCAGCCCCTTATCAAAACAAGTGCCTGAATGTGGGATTGTAATTTGTAAGGACAAATATATGATGAAATATCCTTGATAAACACAACTTATAAATTTGACAAGTTTGTAAGAGGGAATAGGAAGAGGGATGGATATTTATATAGAAGACTGGAAGTGCAAGTAATTGATTTGTAGAATTAGAGTCCATATTATCTCACAGCTATGATAAACAAGGGATGAATAACACTAATCCCATCTTCTAATTATAAACAACATTCCTAGTTTCCTACATATAATGGTTGAACCAGAAAAAGTGCATTAGGTGGAAAGGAGCTTTAAGAATTTACTGTCGGAGCCAAATCTTCATATTTGAACATACCATTCTATAATTTATAAATATATGTAAACACACATTATAAAGTATAACTAACTAACTTATAAGGTAATATTGAGTACAACTAACTCATATATGTACACATTATTATGGGAGAAGGAAGTACAAAGTAAGGATTGTGGGAAATGAATATGTACTTTGATCTTTGTCTTATACTTATATATGACCCCCAAGTTTATGTCTTCAACTGGATGGGTGTCATGGAAACATATATGGAAAGTGAGGCAAGCAAGCCCAGCATGAGTTGGAGTTAGGACAGCAACACTAAACATGCATGCATGTTCTCTGCTATATATACACTTGTGATTCTTTCTCCTAGCTCTATACATTTCAACACATGTGAGTACATACGTACACTGAAATTTTTATATAAATAATTGATCGAATGATGAAGAGATATTACGGTGTTTGGGTGGCGGCATTGGCGGTGATGATAATGGGCGGTAGCCTGGTGCAAAAGAGCGAAGGATCCCCGCCTTGCGGTTCCACATTTGTGTCAGCAATCATCCAGCTGCTCCCCTGCAGGCCTGCAGTCTCCCCTTTTAGGCCCTACCCGCCAAGCGAGGCATGCTGTGCCGCCGTGAGGTCACTCGGGCAGCCGTGCTTGTGCGTCATTCTCAATGGCCCTCCCATCATTGGCGTTGATCGTAACATGGCTCTCCAGCTCCCTGACAGATGCACGGCCAACTTCGAACCCTGTATGTATCTAAGTAATCTAACTATCTACCTACCCCTCACATGGTTCTGCTTCGATCAGTTTGTTAGTTGGTTTCTGTTTGTCTACTTACTTTCTTCAGCATAAGAGTATTTATGATGCACTAAAATATTCTTGATTCCCTCTAAGTGTATCTCATAATGCTAGCTAGCCCATGATAAAACATATATTAGGTGAACTATATGTATTCCTAGCCACATTTGATTCTTCCCACCATTTATCCAGACATTTTTTTATTAATTGAAAATGATCAAATTTAGCTAAGGTTGAAGGACTAATCTGATGTATGACTGTTTCAACTTGTGCAGGTGAAATGGGGAAATAATGTGGAGAACAATCGATAGAAAGATGACACAAGCAATGCATATGGAGACGGAGAGCAGATATCTTCTAATTACTAGACCAGAGCGAGATGATATATTTGTCGCACTGATTATTATTGGGTATTTTAGATCTAGTTTTTTAATTTTAACTTTCAATAAAGTGAGAGTAGTGGTTATGCTATGAGTCCCTTACTCCTCATGTTCAGTTTACCTTGACATTTACTCTCCACTTTATGGATTCCAAATCAAACTTTATCTCTGTTTAATACTTGTTGCAGCCATTGGAATATAGGATGCAAAGTTATTGACCTATACAGAAAATCAAAATCTACAGAAGTTCTTTTAGTTCCATTTTGGTAGTTTTCTGACATCAATGATGATATACTTGAATCTGGGAATCTGGATTCCAACATATATAATGAATTAATGATTCAGATTTAGGGCATATATGGCTCAAATTGTGTCTTAAAACAATGAGGATCTTATATTAAGTTTTTGCTTGCCAGTTGGTGACCAAGCTAGTCAAAATGTGATGCACTTCCTCAACTTATTATTCATAGACTGAAAAGCTTTTGTGTCTTTTGTTAGCTGATCCATGAGCCACACTCTTGTATCAGTTAACTCTTCCTATCCTGGTCCCTGGCGGCCATCAATATGTTTACATGGAAATAGAAACTCAACGTATATGTTTAAGGTGGTGATGCCACTGAGAAAAGACATAGACCAGTGACACAAGGAATAACCAAGTACTACGTAATAAATAGCTATGATATTGTAGAAGATCTATTGATTGAAAGAACAAAAGAAAATTAATGTTCCATGTCTGGATAGTTATCAAATTTTGGAGTATTGGAATCATCCTTCAAAATATTTAAGATGAGATATGAACACAGTTTTTTTAACCTGGAGGCGAAGCTACACAAGAATGATAACAAACACATAGAAACCGCTCTGACATGACACTGAACAATATAACAAAAGCAACCAGAAATGTCAATTGAAAATAATTTTAGAATATAAATGCAAAAATAGGCTGAAAGATGGCTTAAAGTGTACCTTACATGCCAAATACACATGTTACAACTTCCATTAGGTTACGAACTCTCTTCAAATGATCACTTTCAATCTCACCCATTTAAATATCCATCGATGATCCACAATCTCCAATGAGTTATAAATAAACGAAACAGAGGAAGTTCGTATTTATTGAATTAAGTGCTAATTGAGTTCTAATATTTGTGTGCAAGTGATACTTTTATTGTAATAAAAAATTCCTCTTGAAGTCACATTGTACTATTGTAGCAAATTACAATGTCACGAACAGCCGGTATAATGTGTTACATCTATCAATACAATTGCATCTCAAACTTTACCAAATTCACGTGAATGTGTGTATGCCATCAATAGAACTCAACTTCATTACAAAAACATCTACATATGGATTGGCTGAACAGTGCAGTTTAGTAGATGTAACTCATGAAGATCTGCAGCATCCAGATGCACTCCCAGAGGATACAGGTTGTTCATCATGTCCAGAAACAGCAATCTGAGTTCCCTTGAGAAGTAATGATCTTCCAGATGACTCTTCGGCTTCTTCATTGGCAACAAGAGATTTTTTGCTGGCAACACGATAAATCTCAGTAAGAAGATTAAGGAAAGCTGTCTCAACATTAGTCGAGTCTCGTGCAGATGTTTCAACAAAGAACAGGTTCTGCTTCTCGGAGAACTCCTTGGCAACCTCTGTAGGTACACCTCTATCACTCTCAAGGTCAGTCTTGTTACCCACAAGTATGATCACAAGGTTCTTATCAGCATGGCCCCGCAGTTCCTCTAACCACCTTGCCACATGCTCAAATGTTTGATGTTTGGTGATATCATAAACCAGCATCGCTCCCAGTGCACCCCTGTAGTATGCACTTGTCACTGCTCGGTACCTGAGAAATCAAATCAACTAAAGATACAGTTTCTCAAGGGTCCTTTTCTAACCCGGAAAAGGATGGGAGCAAAAACAAGAAGGAAAACAGAGAAGAAATCTGAAAGAAAAGAAAAATATCAGTTCAGACTCAATAAATTAATTTTAGATGTTTGTTCAAACTCAATATTTGTATATATTTATAATCAAACTTCATTTTCCCTTTTATTTTCCACATTGAGACCAAACATTAATAAACTACTCTACTTGGCAAAACATCCTCTTTAGTCTTTCCCCAACTATTTTCCTATCATCACCTAAGAGATTGTAGGATGTTAAGAGAGTTGACCAAACATATACCCATTTGGTCAACTGTGGAAGGCTACAAGGAGGCTAGGATAATCACACAGTGCTTGTGCATTGCAAGGTAGTTGTAGAGCCAATGTGCCCTTAATATTTCCAGCCCCTAATTATATTAAATCTGTACATAGTATGTAAAGGCATAACATATCAGATATCAGATATTAATAACAAACAGAAGATCCTTAAGTACATCCAGTTTGATAGAATGCAGGCTTTTCTAGTAAAAAGAAATCTACTTGCACTATATATGCACGACCATCCAGTTCGATACCAAGTGATAAAGATCTGTGAAAAAGCTGAAACGCTTCTATATAGCACATAATTAATCTCGTGAAATTAGACAATTAATCAAATAATCTAATGAAGTCAATGCAACTCAATGAAAATAATCGAACAACCAGCTTTAGATCAAATACCATGTAAATGTATCTAATCAATAGATTCAACAAGGTCAAACAAACAAAATCAAATCGAGTTCAAGTGTTTTTGTACAAACCTTTCTTGTCCGGCTGTGTCCCAAATCTGAGCCTTGACGCTCTTGTGATCGATGACTACGGTCCGAGTCTGGAATTCAACTCCGATGGTGGCCTTGGAGTCAATGCTGAAGTTGTTCTTGGCGAAGCGGGCCAAAAGCTGCGACTTCCCGACGGCTGAATCTCCGATCAGGACAACCTTGAACACGTAATCGATCTTCTGATTGGAACCCCCGCCACCGCCACCATAAATCATGGACATCTTATGAATTAGGCGGGGAAGCACAATAACACAATCGAAGTTGGATACA